GACCTCAACGGAAGCTGAAGGTGGATTGCCTCGAATGTGTGATTGTAGATTTGTACGAATAGATCCTTTGCGTACCGCCCTGTGAACTCGATGAATCCTTGCTGAGCTTTCATTCGCCATGTGAAAGACGTGTTTGGTAAATTATCGTTAGGCATACTCTGACGATGTCCGTCACATGACGGACCGTCGTGATCTCTGGACGGTGAGCCGAGGACTCATTAGCACCAATCTCCAATCACAACTCAGAGACAATCTACCTTCAGCCTCCGGTGAGACCGAACCAAATGAAATGTACTCCACCTGAAATCCATGATTTTGAGGTTCGAGACCCCCAATTTACCACCTCACTTGCATAGACAGAGCAATACTCTACTCGAATGGGCTTCGTCGCCAAGGTACTGCTGACTGGGCCCCGCAGTGATTGGCTGAAAGGCCCAATTCGGACCTCGCTCCCCATCGGTTGCCATCGCTCTTCGGGGCGAAGGCTCACAGTAGGACTTATTGAGGCGCCCTTTGGGGTGGGTGCATGCTCTTTCAGTTACCGTCTTAAGGTGATTTGTGTGTACATGAGACTTAGTACATTTGCTTGCCGGTCACTGTGGGCCGGACAGTTGTCCTCGTTGGCCTCAGAACGTGATCTGCATCATGTCAAGTCGTGTGCAGGTAACAAATCGGTTTGCAGGGAAACCCACTGCTCAGCCTGTCTGTCTGTCTGTCTGTCTGTCTGTCTATGGGCGCTAAGGCAATAGCAGCCATGAAACTTGGCCCAACATTCGTTTGGTATGGCTACGAGTATGCTGGTTTGCTGTTGCCGGGCTGTTTGGGGTACGCGTTGAATGTTTTTTTTCCAAGCAAAAGCCGTTTCGTGTTTATGGCAAAAACAATTCGGCTTCAATGTCAAGATCTGTTTTCGTTGCGTAAGCCCTCCCAGACATGTCCTAATCCTTCTCGTATGGTCATGTGACGCCGCACAATTTGGCCCTGACAAAACGTGGAATGCATCTGCTTGACCACTTTCCTTAATTGGACAAATTTCACATTTTAATAAGACTCTTTATCTGGATAGAACTAAGGCCGTGCACATTCTATAATCGCGAAAATTCAGATTAGCCATCAACCATTCTGGTCGCCCTGGCGACTAGTTTCGCTCAAAATACTATCATTTTCGGTTCTTTTTCTGTTAGACAACCATCTTCCGCCTACCGATTTCTCTGCTTCCCAAAATACTCGAGATTGAGAGAAGTT